GGAGTTGACAAACTCAATTATTTTTATATATTTTGGTATCTTTTATATGAGTTTTGTCAGCTTAATTGGTCCCTTTTTGCTTTAATTGATTTAATTTATTTTATTTTGAATTATTATTTTATAGGGGCAAAATTGTCATATTTTGGTTTAATTGTGAGTAATTGGTTTTCTGAGGACAATTAATGCTACCTTATTTTTTAATTTTGTTTGCAGGTTTTTAGAAGATTTAAAAATAAAAATTAAAATTAAAAAAATGAAAAAAAAAGATAAAAAAATAAAAGAAAAATAAATTAAAAAAATATAATAATAAAAGGGGGAGCAAAACGCAACGTCCCCCCCAACCTAATATACTATAATCCATCATCTTCAATTAAGGGACCGGAGACACAGACGCAAGCGAGCTGAACACGAAAACACACACACACGCTAGCTGGGGGCAGCGGAAAAAAACAGAGCAATAGGGAGGGAGAACACGAGAATCATCATCATCGGCCACTTCACCTTCGTCTTCTCAGCTGATCTTGAACACGGAACCAGAGCGCACACGAAGGAGGGACGCTGAACGAGCTGTGGGCGGCGGCAAAAAGAAAAGAGAGAGAGAGGTCCTTCCATCGGTCCAGTCCATCATCACCGGCGCCTTCACCTTCTTCTTCTCTTGGGCGCAGCAAAACCAGAGGGAGGCAGAGACCCACAACAGAAAGAAGGACCAGCGAGCTAACGGCACAAACAAGAAAAACAGAGATTCAGCGTTCTTGATGGCAAACCGAGGCTAGAGTCTATAATTCTCTAATTCAACAACAATGACAGGAGCTCAGATCATCAAAAGGGAGTTTTAGTTGCTTTAATTTCTTACTCAATAATTGTTTAACAATTCCTAAGTCTTAGGATAGTTTTTCTGATTGTTGGGATAATTGTATTGCTTAATCTGATTATATTTGGAGATTATTGTGACTGAATTATTGCTTAGCATTTGACATTGGGCTGTTTATAACTTTAATTTCAATTATAATGTTGTGGTTATGACATTTGTATTGATTTTGGAGTTAATATATTGTGATTTTCTGAGGTGACTTAGAATTTTGGATCATATTGTCTTTTGATAACTTTAATTATGTTGTTTTGGATTTAAGAGTTTTAATTAAGCATTGGTTTTTAGCATCCTTAATCCCATTTTATTATTCTGGTTGCAGTTAGTAAGTTGGGATTTTAGAAAAATATTTTGTGGCAATTCGAGGTGACTCGGTTGTTGGATTAAAAGCTTAATTATAATTCTTAATTCATTATTTTTAACTCCCACATCTTTTAGAGTAATGATTGCCTGTGTTGTTGGATTGGAGGATTGATTATTGTTATTGTTATTTGTGTGTTTCATTTCAGTTCTTTCATCTTCAATTTATTTCAATCATTTTTATATAAAAAAACAAAAAAAGTATTTTAATTTCAATTTAATTCAAAGTATTTACTTAGCAATTATCAAATCAAAAATCCTTCTTTATAGTTTAGGTTACTTGCATTTATTTACTAGGATTTAATTTCATTTTTGGCTTCTCAAAGTGAATACAACCCGGATTGTGCACTATATTGCATTAATTAGGTTAATTTTTGGAGTAACCCCAAAGCGACAAATTAAGGGCAAGTTAACTTCACTGCACCTTCAAACTCCACCAATCACTACTCCCTTACCCTTAGGAGTACTTGCTCTTGCTGTGTTACATGGAAGAAGGGGTGAGATTCTATAGAATCCCTATAGTAACAAATTGCTTTCACGTAATCACAAAAGATCACAAACAACATGCTACACAAGCCCAAGAAAACAACACCTTGCATCTAAATATAATCAATGATGCACATACACCATACAACCATATTGTCAATCGCTATCTATCGTGCCCACATTCCAAAATAAATGGAAACCAACGCATATTGTCATGACAAATATTATCATGCAAAGGCAACTTATCTGTTCTCATGCACAATCAGCATAAAGGCACATCCAAGCATGTGACAATCAATGCACAATCACATTAAAGAAAAAGTGTTACTACCTTTTGCTTTTCCTTCCGTACTAACTTCCATTTGCTTCTTCCTTGGCTCCCTTCTTAATGGACTTGAACAAATATCAAATCCTATAAATTATATACGTGAGGATAGATTAGTATATATAGGTATAAGTATTTAAGTATTCTCCCATTTCCCTTATGCTTCCCACAGTCATACTTCCAGAAGTTACACACACACGCATGTGTGTTTGTGTGTGTGTGTGTGTATGACAATTATACTACACAAACTTATAAACAAATTATCATACATTAATCTTTTCAGAAATTTCCACCACAATTCGAGCTTCATATGCATCATTCTATTTACTATTTTAATGTCCAAAAATCTTGATTCAGTCCTTTCAAATCATTATTTAAATTCTACATTAATCTCAACACCCTTGCTAATCTGTAAACTTTTTCATATTTCAATATCTATCTTCACACTTTAATCAATTTTGGACAGCACCCCATGCTTCCAAAAATATTTTAATATGTCTACACTGAGGTTTAATCATCTCTCTTCCCTTCCTATATTTCACGCCACATTCATAAGCAATTCTAGAAAACTTTTCCAGATTCTAAACATACTCCCAAATTTGGAACAGGCCCCTTTATCTTAGTTCTAAAAATTCTCCAGCTTTAAAACTATTTTCTTACCATCACAATAGAGCTTTGAAACTTGATCCAATAACTCAATATGCCAATAATAGCTGTAGAGCATCAACTCGTAATGATTCTTCAATTTTCCAGTTTGAGATATTGCCACTAAAATTCCAGATTTGACACGGACAACACCGACACACATACATATATATATATATATATATATATATATTACATCTCCTACAGCCCTAAGGTTCTCAAACTACCACCAAACAAACTAAACATCCCTGTTTCGGTAACTAAAACCAGAGCAATCAACTATACAAGCAAATGCAAAAATCCCAACCACAAACTCCATCCTCACCATTAAGCACGATTTCTATAGCTTGGCTCTCATGCTCTTCACTTTGTCTCTCAAAAACCAGATTTCATCTTCATCATCACCTTGCAACACATGCCCAAATAACAGAAAACAAAGACGGAAAAAGATTCAAGAGACTCACCTTGTTTGACTTTCACCTTTGTATGAACCAATTCCCTCCTCCGATAGCCTTTCCCCTTCTTGATCTCTCTCGAACTCTCTCAGCGCTCTCTTTGTTTTCACTTTGAAAGCAGAGGAAAAATGAGAAGGGAGAAGATGTTAGGGCAGATTAAGTGGGTATGGGGTATGGAATGACCATTATGCCCTTGTTCTTCATTTTCCCTTCAATTTGATCCTTCTATATTTTTCTAGGATAATCAAATAATTCCAGAAATCAAATCTGGATATTTTATATGAATTTTCTTCTTCCATTAGCGTTTTAGTCCATAAAATAATTATCCTAAAAACCTCAGCTCAAAAATTATCCTCTAACTACTTTTCTTTGAATTTTTCAAGAAAATAGGTCCTAAATTCCTGAAATGTACTTTATAATTATTTAGATCATATTTTAAGGGTCTTAATCTCAATAATTTCTCAAAAAAAAAATCCTTCATCATGCTTTACTTAACTCCATAAAATTTGGGATATTACAGAGTTGGATCCCTAGGAGTCTACTCTACTGAACTCTTAAGGGTCTCGTTGGCCAAAAACAAAAAGTTAAGGGTCTCATCATTGGTCCTGCAATTCTAATTAAATGAGTCAGAAATGAAAATTTAAAGGTCATGGTAAGTCGTAGTTAATGTTGGCAGACTTGGAGCTCTTACTCTACTATCAAGTAGTTAAGGGTCTCGTTGGCCCCAGAAAAAAAAAAGTTAAGGGTCTCATCATTGGTATATGATACTTTTCCGTTCTAAATATAAGACCTATTCTATAATATAAGTTACACTAGAAAATAAATATTATATTTAAGACCAAAGGAATAGGTTCACGTAAATAAATAAGTTTACTAATTAATCTCTGAATTCTAGTCAATGAGTTGTCTCATTATGATTCATGTTAATATAACCCTATGAATATTATCAATCATGCATTAATATAAAATATAAAATAGATAATAAATTCTAATGTTCGATGTATACAAGGATATTTCTCCTTAGCCGATGGTTTAAAACTATTTCCTAGTTATCTGCCAACATTCAGATCTTATTAAAAGCTTTCGGATATAAGAAGGTCAGATTCTTCCAGTTTAACTAATAAACGTAGTGTAGTTACAAGCTTGAATCTGCTAATTAAGAAACCTTTGGATAAACAGTAAAATTATCATTGTGGGTCTTTTTGTGGTTGTTAGAGCGAGGTGATTTAAAAGATTATGTGATGACTTGGATTGTGGAATTCACTTTGTATAAAAGATAGTTTCTCATTGAAATTATATATAAAAAATATGATGTTACTGTTAAACAATTTTTATTTTTTTAGTTTAAAAAAACATAAAAATAAAAAGTCAAAATTACCAACCACTAACAAGCTTTTCTTTTACACAAACTCTATCTGGATTATTTTGACCCTCTAATATGATTCATAAGCCCTCGTTTCATTTTGGACAAACACATTTTTCGTATCTTTATATCATTTTTTTGTGCCAGTCGTGTGCCATCTCCATGGGAGAACCAACAAAAGTTTGGAAAAATCACGTTTGACCTTTTCCACTTCAAATTATGTGGACATGATTTGTAGGTGGAACCATTAATTCCCAAACAAAACTTGAAATTTTGATGGCCTGAGGAAAATCGATATGAATCTAGTATAAAATTCAGGTAATGACATCGATGAAGATTCAATTTAGTATTCGGCTAATCCTCCGTGCGTCCTTTATTGCATTGTTCCCATCTCTTGTTCCCTTTTCCATCTTTTGAGACCATTAATTATCGATCCATTCATGAAATCAAACCAAACAGTAATTGGGAATAAAATAAAGAATGAAATAGAGCCATAGAAACCCACTAATCAACTGAAACTTCAGTAGCAAATTAACAGAGACAGATGTCACAACCATGATCAAGTCAGAAAGTTTCATAATCCAACAAAACATAACTTCTGTAGAACAAGTCCAATGAGAAACCACTTTATATTACACACAACAACATCCATTTTAGTATAAACTAATGCAAAGATACTACCTAGCTGAGAGGAGGGTGATTGAATCAAGATTCCCAGAATGATTGATTGGATGGCTTGGTATACCATTTGAATTCGAAAGACCAATCTCCATAGCTAAACATTCCCTTAGTTCATGCAACACATAACTAATGTCTGGCCTTTGGGTGCGCTGTGGTGCAATGCATGACATTGCTGTCTCCACAGCCTTCCATGCGGAACAAACATTGAATTCACCTGCCAACCTTAGGTCAACAATGCCTTGGATATCCCCACACTCAATTTTTGGACGAATCCAATCAATGACGAAACATATATCCTCAAGTTCTCTTCTCACCGGTGGATGGCTTGTGATAAGTTGAAGAAGAATCATCCCGAAACTATAGATGTCACTTTCTTTGTTTAGGTTTCCAGACTTTTGAAATCTGTAGTGTCAACAAATAATTAGCTTACAATACAATAGTCTTTTATTTTCTTTGGATTAATATTCTTTATTGATAAAATGCAATGACTTACTCAGGATCAATAAAACCAGGCGTACCAGCTGGTTGAGTTGATAGATGAGTATCTCTTTCATTTTTAAATGCTCTCGATAATCCAAAATCAGCAAGCTTGGCTACCATGGACTGATTTAACAGAATATTGGATGGTTTTAAGTCTCTATGAATTATGGGAGTCTTACAACCATGATGAAGATATTCCAGTCCTGCAACTTTATCAAATTATGTAAGTTATGGTAAAATGTGATTGTTAAGGAGAGAAAAAAACTCGTTAGTTCTCTAACCTCTTGCTGCATCTATACTAACTTGAAGTCTCTCATTCCACTTTAAAACTTTTGGGTTTTTCTCTGCAGAGACATTGGGTTTTGGTCAATCGAACGCTAGGAACCAAAACACGCATATGATGGTATATGTAACAATTCAGTAAAGTGTATAATATAAATGAAGTTGTTAAAAGAATTTGAACAACAAATCGAAGCGTCAAGGTTGGATCAACTCTAAAAGGATGTTTTAGAAGAAAAGAGGAAAAGTGGGTAAAAAAGAGTATGGTAAAGTAGAAGTTTTGGAAACTTTGTGAGGGGACTAACCCTTAAAGAGATGTCTTTCTATTTCTTTTTTCTTTTTTGTTGTTATCTTCTTTTACTATTATTTTCTAAGAGGATAATCAAGTTCCCCCATATTCGTTGGTATACTCTTGGCTTGGCAAAAGAAGCCAATCGCTTCAAAAGATCATATATGTGAGCTATTTATAATTAGTTTTTGATTAGTATATATAGTTTTTGATACTAGATGCTGGGATAATGTTAACCTCGTGAAATTTATGGTATTTCATCACATTTTCCTTTAGCTATTTCACTTTTTGGTAAACTAGTGCATATTTGGATGTACTCATGAAAGGAAAATGAGCATAATTGATACTTGGGCTACAATTGTGGAATTTTGGTTAACTGTGAATATTTTGCCCCTAATTTATCAATTTTGGCTTTCACAGTTTGTCTTACTTTGTTAGGTGGTTGAAGCTTGCCAATTGAGCCATTTGAAACAAAGTATTGATTCCCATGAAGTTGGAAATATACTTAGGAAGCCATGCTATAATGAAGAAATCAAGAAAAGAGGAGATGTAAAATAGAGCACTGTTGGCCTCAACCAACAAAATCTCTTAGCCTCAATTAACAGCATTCTAGAGAATAATTGGCCGCAACCAAGGAAAATCTTGGCTACAACCAACGGAAAATTACTGATACTTTGTGTTTTGAAAACAGCATGCTTCCTAGGGCTTCATATGCTATATAAATCAAAGGAATGCGCTATTTTCACGCATTCTAGTCTTCTTGGGTGCATTTGGGAGCTCTTTGGTGTGCTAGGACATGGATTTTGATGGAGCTTGAGTTGGGGTTTGAAGTTTGGAAGAGATTTTGGCTTCATATCTTGGTTCTTCTCCATTCTCCTTTCCTTTCTCATGTTCAATGTTTGTGCTAGTTTATCTGTATTTTTCATGGGATTTCTGAACATGTGCAGCTAAACCTTTAATTCTAGGATTATTTTGAATCTTTATATGGATTAACTCTTGATTCCTCCTCTCATTTTGTGATTAATGATGTGTGTGCGTGTGTGTGTTTATTTTACCCCTTGCTTAATGCTTCTAAGTGCTTGATTACCATTTAGATGTTCTGTTTATTTGAGTGATGCTTGAGAAGGCTAGCTTGAGTGTAGAACTTGGGTAAAATTGTGTAAGAACTTTAAGTTTGCATGTCGAATGAATGGTTTTGTTAGTAAAGTAGAGATATACTTGCCACCCTTATATAGTCGCTTTAGGATTGGAGATTAAAATTAGGCTTTATTAATTGTAACAAGAGATTGAGCAATTAATGAAATTAAACACTTGTTCTTGACTTGAGAAAGCTTTTACACATACATTATGAATCCTAAACTAGCATATATTCTTCATTAAAAGCTTTGATGAGAGGAGATAAATTGCATGTTAATAAATACAAGGGGGATAAATAATCCTAGATCTCATTTTATCCTTGAAGTCTAAGAATCATTTGTTTATATTAATTTTTAATTTTGAAAATAGTTTCCTTTCACTCTTAACATATTTGTGTCACTCAAATTAAGCAAAAGTGTGATTATCAATACTTGACGGGTGAACAAAAAATTAATCATTTTCATTGGAGTTAATTAGAAGTATATAGGGATCCAAAATCACTTTACACCAAGGAAAAAAAAAAAGATTCTAGTAGGATTAATGATTGAAAAGGTGTCGCAAAAGTCTGAAGAAGTAATCTCAGCAAATGAATTGTCTAGAAGTTATGTGCTGGTAAAATAAATAACTTTGATGTGAATTGATGGAACAATGCTAGAGATAGTGAAATCAAGTGAGGAGTTAAGGACACAGATGGAGAAAGTTTCACTTGCTTGGTCGAGTGCCGATAAATTTCTTGCGCACTAGTTTTAGTCAATAAAATATTCACCACCAATTTCTTCCTTATAGATATACTACCTTCAGTCCTTGAAATAATAGTTAGTTTGACTTTTAATTTGGTCTTAAATATAAAATCTCAATTTATTTTATCTCTCATATTTATCTATTTTTTTTAAGTAATTCTTGTAGTAGTTGCACCTATTAAAGATTTCATCAAATGGTAACTCTAGTTAATACACATAATTAGTAAGGGTATTCTAGGAAATTTAACTCATTTGTTATAAATAACTAACTTAACACCCTTTTTTAATCCACTCAAATTAGTCAACTAACTCTTGTATTAATGACCAGAAATAGTATTATAAAGGCAAGAAAACCATATTAAAATTATACCAACCATTACGCAATGCTAGAGAAGTTTTAATTTGATCATTAAGACAAACCTGACAATAGTCCGCTGAGGTCTCCAAGATCCATATATTCATAAATCAATGCTTTGATGTCGTTTTCATCACAAAACCCAACTAGTGAAACCAAGTTTCTATGATGAATGACTGTTAAGAGTTGAGCCTACAAGTTAAAATTGCTCAGATCTCTATTTTAGAACATAATTTTTAATAAGAACATCATTCTACCACCCAGTAGGAACATATTCAACATTGAATTATTAAAAAAATTGAAAACTATGACTTGATGACTTTTATTTCTGACCTCTGATTGAAATTCCTTATAGCCTTGCCTTGAAGATGGAGAAAGTAGCTTAACAGCAACCTTTGTGTCATCTTCTAAAGTACCAAGGTAAATTTTTCCAAACCCTCCTTCTCCAATAGCAGTTTCTAAATTGTTTGTGATACGGAGTACCTCCGTGTAAGAAAATGATTGATTGTTATCTTTTGCAGCTTCCCTTTTTTGAAATTCACTTAGGATGACTACAACATTAAATGAAATTTTGTGAGACTTTCATGATCTTATAAAGTTGTAAAAGCAACTAATTGAGCTTAATTAGATTATTGGCCATCCAAAGAGATTAGACCGTTTGAAGAAAGAGAATCAAGGCATGTGCAGATTTTTTTCCTTAAAAAAGGGGAATTTGGGGATACGTTTCTATCAATGAATTGGCAGCATGTGTACGAATAAATACCTCTTTTATGTCTAAATCTCCAGATCACCAGAGCAACAATAACAGTTAGGATGACCAAAGCCGCAACTGATGCAATAAGTGGAATTACAAAATTGTGTTTTTTGCAGGAACTCTTTTGGCAAAGACCTGGATTGTTGGCCACACTAGTAAAATAGAGCAGGGGTTAGCCGAGTTAACAGTATAAGGATATATAATACACATAATGTCATATCAAATTTGATTTATTATATTAAAGCAGATTGCTTCTATGCTTGCGATTTAGGGTTATTTTTGTCCCTTAATGCTTTAAAAGTTAAAACAATGGAGGAACTAATTGAAATATAGAATTTAACATTCAAGACAGTAAACCTTAGCTGCAATCCAGCATTTTCCTTCAAAGCCTTGGGAATCGAACCAGTGAGCTTGTTTCCTGCTAAATTACTGCAAGTGGAATTCTAAGATACACGACTTCACAATGAACATGAACACGAAAGACTACCTAATGTAATTTTAATTAAGATCTTACATGAACTTCAAATTCGGAAGAGTTGAGAGAAACTCTGGTAGTTGTCCAATCAATTCATTATTTGACAAATCCCTGTGAACAAGAGTAAGTGTTATTCGTAAAACCTAACAAGATGCTCAGTATAATGGTACGTAATTGAAATTTAGAGCCTATCTTATGTAAAAACTTACAATGACTCCAATTTTAATAATTTAGCAAAGGATTCACTTATTTCACCTTTGAGGCTGCTTGAGCTCAAGTTCCTACAATTTGTAATTTATCCACCATTTTAAGCAACGTAACTAGGAGAGAGAAACGAAATGGAATCTAAAGGTTATACGTTCAAATATATACTAGTCTATGATTGAGATACATCATCAAATTAAGACATGCAGGTCATTTCATGAATAAAAAAATCAGCAAATAATAATGTTCATACCTCGAAATAATACGGCATTCTACTCTCATCCTTAACTATTGTGTGCAAGATGTTGTCCTTGGATGCAGCAAAAATAACATCATAAATAAGAGTAGAAATATGGGACTACTTACAATGAAAGGATCCTTATATTATTGTCGGAGCTGCAAATCAGGCCATCCCATGCTAATTTAGATGGAACGCATGGGTCCCCTTGCCAACTAATTCTAGAGATCCCATAAGTATGCTTTATTTCCAACATGGCATCAACTACAAAATTTCCAATCATAAATCATTAGACAGTATAGTATTTTATTCTCTTTTAGTTTAGTATGGTGATTATATGAATAGAGCAAAAACTGATAGAACGATGCCCAAAATGAACGAATGATAAGGAAAAGAAATAATATCTCCGGTATAAGATCTACTTTGTTGGGCAAATTGTACTAGAAAATAGATCTTATATTGAAGACTGGAGGCAATAATAGAAATACCATCTTGTGTTGCCGTAGGAGAATCAGGTTGTGAGATGGCTTCATAAATTTCGTAGGCATTTAAGATTGGAGGAGCATCTGAATCAGCTGTTGCCATTGCTGTGAAACTAACGTAACCTTTACTCATCTTGTTGGAACTTAAGGTGATAGGCTTCAAGTATTGAAGAGTAAGTACATGAGACGGTGAATTGTCGTCGTCATCATCAAAGGTGACATTGATAATCCTCTTGTGGCCAGAAGGAAGCTTCTGGATTTCAGCGAAGTGAAGGAACCAATAATATGGATAAGATATATCGCCACTCCAATTCGCAGTCAATACATTGGAATTGTTTAGGGGTTGTGATGCAGTGCTTAATACTTCTAATGGCAGGTCATAATTGGAGCTCTCTGTGTTTCCTTCTACACTTGATTTTGCAACATCCCAAGCGTCAGCATGACGTGTTCTCCATAAGCGGTCGAATACATCGTCCCTGTACCTACGGTAAAGTGCGCGTACACACTTGTTTAAAAAAAAAACAAAATCTCTTTGCACGAGGAAGAAGACTTAGATCTTTACTCTTACACACACACACACACACACACACAGAGATTGCCATAGATCCTTCCTCTTATATGCTTACCATACTTTTGTTCAATCAAATTAGAACAAATGGGTTTTAAAGTAAGAAAACCGTGAAAGTATCTATTATATAATTTTCCTGGTGGTAATTATTATATAATTTTCCTGGTGGTAATTATACTTTTTTTCTCTTCATTAAATTCTTAATTTTTTTCTGTTCGCACCGTTAGCCCATATAACTTTGGTCTGTTAACACTGTTATCATATTAATAGAGCACAAATAAATTATTTAATCAAGAAAGAAAAATGCATGGGCATTAGTCCACCTATATGTATGTATGTATGTATATAAAAGATCAATTTTCAAGGTCAGCAAAAATAATAGTTTTTACTTTTTATTTACTGTACATCTTTGACTTCTCTCATATATATATATATATAAAATTCACAAAGTCTCACAAAAATATAGATACAAGCTAGTTAATTATTGTAGCGTAACAAAAATGAAAGAGCACCTACCTGGTAAAAGGGTTCCAAGGCGGAGAGCCACAGTTGACCCTGGAATATAGTAACAAGGGAAGTGGAACTGCCGAATAGGGAGAGTTGTTAAGTGGCCTTAATTCCAGAGTGTTAATAAAAGGAGTACCAAGTCCAGTGTTCACCAGGCACACTTGAACCAAGTGATCAGAAGGAAGCTGTTGAATTATGATTTCGTTGAATTGGAAATAAGTTGCATTAGGCAGCCGAATTGTTGTCCAATAATTGGCCCCAACGTAGAGTTCGAAGACTGGAACTGTGTTTTTGTTGTCATAATTCCCATATGAAAATATTGCTCTGATCAGATACGTTTGATTCATCTTCTGTTGTTGTTTTGGTTTCATAACGTAACAGTTCCTTTTTCCCTCCGGAAAACTTCTTAACGTCTTTAGTTGTCGGCTTAGGTGTGGAAAGTCTTCGAAGTTGGATGATATTTCATAGTTTTCTCCACTGCCAATGAAGTCTTCATCTGTCTGGTACCAGATTCCTGTTTGACTGTCCAACTAATCTCCCCTTGCTCCACAATCTATGCTTAGGAAACCTGAACCAATATATGAATTATTTTCCTTGTTTTAAATAAAAATTCCTCAATGTAGATTTAGGAGGAAAAAGGAATAACAGAAAAGCATGCACGTTAAGAGGTTAATCTGTTACCTGCTGAATCATGGGCTGAGTGGCTAACAATAATGATGAACGAACAAGCACGTACAAAACCAAAATCCATAGTGATATTTTCTTCATCATGTATTCAAGTTTAGATGGAAAAAGGGATAGAGAAACGATGTGCTTTCGGGAGAAGAAGAGGACTAGTGAGCATAAATATTAGGATCCTACATAATCATGTGACTTTTCTATGACTGGTCTAAATATAAATAAAGAAAATTAGTTATTTGTTTATTATCAAAAATGTTAATCTTTCATTTGGCTTTTTGTTTATTTTTTATTGCCCCCTTAATTTGGAAAAGTTCTTTTTCTCCTTAATCATATTTGAGGAACAAGCAGACACTAACCTCTCGTTTGGAAGGATAGAAAATGAGGAAGAAAAGAAAACCTAGGAAAGAAAATGATTAGAGATATTTTTTTAAATGTAGGCAACTCTTTCAATGAGAATTTAAATATTGGTTCACTACAAACGCTAAACCCAACTCAACTGTTTGCAGAAAAGTTATTCTAAATGAATGAACATTTATTGTGAAAGACGATCAACATTATATTTAGCAATTCACAAGTTTTATTAGCTATTCATAACAAAAATTTTGCAATAAAGTTGCACTCTCTAATAAACTTCTATTATTATGCAATCACAAGTTTAGAAATTAACAAGTCTTATTTAGTACTTCACATGTCTCCATTAGCTATCCTTAACAAAATGTTTGTGATAAATTAAAATGGTGCTTCTCAATATATTAACCTTTATTGGTATTCAATCACAACAACACAACCTTTATTAATTCACAAGTTTCCGTTAGCTATTCGATATACAACTTTGATGATAAAGTTAAAGTTGTCGGAGCTCTGGTTCCTAACAGTATTGCCAGCAGGTCATTGGCAAAGGCGGCTTTAAAAAATGAAGAGGAGCCTTTGAAAGGAAAAGGTGAGAGGCAATGTGATAAAACACCCAATTTTCACAAAATCCTAAATTAGACCCATTAGCCAATTAAGGATTTACTGAGTCTGTTAGTGTGGCTTAATGTTTTGACATAAATATTAAGAAGCACGGTAAATTTCTTGAATACGTTAGTGGCGCAACTTTATATAAATAGATGCTGGCTAAAAACTTCGTATAAATAGATTGCCCTTGTGTGAATTAAAAAGAAAACGACAGCAAATTAAAACGAAATAATATAAAGTTGGTGTAATAATTATTCTCGCAACGTACGTAATATATGTTTTCAAATTTGAATAGATGTGAAATTTTTTGAAAGGCAAGACTTACGTCAACTTTTGGTGAAGTTAACTTTAGTTGAAATTCTCTAATCACGCTATTTTTCTTTTTTTAATTATTGGTTGTTAAAATGCATATATACACTTATGAATTTAATTATTAATTTCTTGTACATTTTTGTATCAATTCTTATAATATAAATTAGAATTTGTAAATTTTCATATAGACACTTATTATTGTGATATTGTTAATTATTAGAATGTGTATGTTCATTTGTAAATTCACATATTAACTGATATAATAGATAAAAATAATTTGATCTGAGTTTTATTTTTGTTCTAAATCATTCAAATAATGAAGTTTATTCACCCTCTTTTCACTTAATCCTTTAAGTATATGCGGGAGACGCCACCCAATTTGGCTCGTCTCCAATATAATTCTGGTATTAAGCATTTCGACCAAATTTTGACAGTCCAGAATTATATATTTCCATTGAAATATTTTAATAATATTAATCTTATAAAATACTATTAATTATGAAAAGTATAAATTGGATAACCGTATTAATTACTAATAAGAGAATAATAGTCCGACTCCCTCTAGTCCTTATTATAAGGGGTCTGATAACCTCTCCAAATGTCTACTTATTCAACTTGTTTTAGAGCCCTTTTATATGTTTTGGAAGTCAATTTTGCAAGAAAAAGCCTGAAGCGAGCAAGAAAGAGAGACCAGAAGCAGAGAGACTTGGTTTAACTATCTCTTTAGTATTAATGATAATGTTTAGTTGTTTTTACCTTGAGCTTAATGCTTCCTTGTGTTTGGCCATTATTTGGATTGATTGTTTGATTAGTTTAAACTTGAGAAAGTTCAATTAATCTGTGAACTTTGGTAAAAACATGCTAGTTTGGAAATTTAACTGAGTAAATAGATGGTTTGTTGATAGAACAGAGATGTATCTGTTAAACTAGCATAGACTAAAATGGGTTTTGGTTTTCAAAGTGCAACATTTTTAAACAAATGCAAGAGATTGCGATGTTTTATTATGATTGTAAAAATTTGGTTTTGACTTGAGAAAGCTTAATCAATTTTGCGAACCCTGGCTAACTGAACTTATTGTTAATTACTACTTGAGAAGTGATTAGTCCAGTTTTATGAAGTATTTTAGCAAAGAATAACCCTAGTCCCTTATTTGTTTCAAAGTCAAGTTGATTTTATATTGCTTTAAATCATTGTTTTCCTAATTTCATCTCACAAATTCTTTTATAACTTTTGCTTCACTTAACCTAATCAAGAACACAATTATGATTTTTAACTCATCTAGCCTTAGTCTCTGAGGGAATGATACTTTTTATATTACTTGCGACCCATCCGCTTGCAGTTTAGCTAATCGGTTAACAAGTTTTTAGCATCGTTGTCAGGGACTAACAGCAAGATTGTTTGTGGTTTATTATCCTTATTGTGTGATTGGTTACGCTTAAGTTTCTTTTAGCATTTGTAGTAATAGTTATAGGTAGAGTAGTAGTATTTATTTAGGTCATTTCACTAGATAAGTTTGATACTTGTGTTTTTTATTTGAATGTGCAGGTAACTCCTGACGTATGCAAGGAAGACTGGAAGTTATTTTGGAAGAGGTTACTGAAGAAGAATCCAGTTCAGGAGAAACTAAAAACACACCAAAGATTCAGCAATGACCCCAGCTACTTCTACCATCACTACTTGAAACAGAACCACAAGAAACCATGGCAGAAAAGGATGAAAATGACGTATACACACTTGATGACTATCTGGACAAGGAAGGGCACACTTCTCACTCTAATATTCAGCTACCAGACATTCAAGCCAGGGATTTTGAAATCAAGCCCATTATGATTCAACTACTGGGGATGATTGGTACTTCTGAAGAAAATTTCAATGATGATCCTAATGAGTATTTGACCAAGTTTATAGAGGTTTGTGAGAACTTCAAACAAAATGGGGTTACTAAAGATGCTCTGAGGTTGAGATCGTTCCCCATGTCTTTATCTCACAAGGTGAAAATGTGGTTGAATTCCTTGGCAGAACACTTGATTAAGACTTGGGATGAGCTTGTGGCTAGGTTCAAGGCCAGATTTATTCCAAGAGGTAAACGAGCTACACTAAGGGGTGAATTACTTTCTTTTGAGCAACATCCGGATGAGTTATTTTACAAGGCTCGGGAGAGATTCAAGGATATGTAGAGAAATTGTCTGAATCATGAGCAGAAGAAATATGTTCTAATAGAAGCTTTCTGGAATGGGTTGAATGATCAGACAGTGACTATGCTGAACACCGCTTCAAATGGAGGAATTGGAAAGATAAAAGCAGAATAAGCTATATGAATTGTATGAAGAGGTGGCATCTAGCACTATGTAACAATATAATAAGAGAAGGCAAAGTTCTAGGAGATACAAGGAGCCGAGTTCTTTATCATCTAAAGATATTGCATCGCAACTTGAAGCGACCTCCAAAAGGTTTGACAATTTGGAGATGCAAATTAAGAAGGGCAACACTGTAGGGGTTCATGCACTTTAGGCTTTCGGGTACACTTGTGACCATTGTAATAAGGAACATCATTCTAATCAATGCCCTTACACTTTGGAGACAGTCAATTATATGAATAATATGCAGCGAAGGCCACAACGAAGTCCTTACTCTCAAACCTACAATCTAAACTTGAGAAATCACCCAAATTTCTCATGGCAGAATGGGCCAAGTTTGAATCCGCCACAAATATTATCATCTGGTGCTAAACAAATAGGGCCTCTTAGCTTTCATAGCCAACCATAACAGTACCCTCAGAAGGAAGAATCTAAAATCAATAAGATGTTTGCTCAGTTATTAGCAAATCAAGAATCTGCAAGGGCTGAGAATAAGGCAACCTTCTCTCTTCATAAGACTACTATCAGGAATCTTAAAGTTCAAATGGGACAACTAGCCTCTCAAATGAATGTTTTCACAAGAAATAGCCTTCCTAATGACATTGCTCCTAATCCCAAGAAGGACAATAAAGAGGAATGTAAAGCAATCACCTTAAGGAGTGGTAAGGTCCTCCATGACAGTTTAAGTCCCGGGAGAGTTGCACAAGAAGTTTAAAATGATGTGGCAAGTGATCTTAACAATAGTGAAGAAAGACATGAAGAGGCAATCTCTAAGGATGACAACAAGAAGAGAAAGCAAATTGAGGAGAATATAGTAGATGTGGTGAAGGGCAAGCATATGACTATTGATATTGCGGAGGAAAAGAAGAGGAAAATGCTGACCTCTCCTCCTAACTATGTGCCATCACCACCTTTTCCTCAAAGACTCAAGAAATAGCAAGAGGATGGCCAATTCAAGAAATTTCTTGAGATGTTCAAACAATTGCACATTAACATACCTTTGGTGGAAGCCCTAGAACAAATGCCAAAGTATGCTAAATTCATGAAAGATGTCCTGTTAAAGAAGAGGAGGCGATTTACTGAGTATGAAACTGTAACAGTGACTAAGAGTTTTGCAACACCTCACTTTTATATACTAATAGGATCATTTTAACGTCTGTGAATCACTAACGCCAGGTTTCCGTTCTGGGAAAAGACAGGGAATTTTTTTTTTTTTCCTTTAACATTAGAATCCGTTGATCAAATATTTCAAAGCTTCAG